GCTCTTTTGCTTTAAGAATCCCACTTGAACCCATGTGCGACGAACAGCCATTGCACACTAGAACGATTGGGCGAGAAATGTCACTGCCGATCACATCAGCGAAATGACCGATCCATCTTTCAAAAATACAACCATTAAGAAAGCCCTTGGACGCTGGATGGATTCCAGAATTTGAGATTTGTCAGCCGTCCAGTGCGGTACGCCGAACACTTTTGTTTGGCAAAATGAAGAGCGGTGCCGCGGCACGACCATCGGCACTAACAGTAGCAACAACCGACAGGTGAAATGCTGTCTCAGTAGCCGTCGTCCACACTTTCGCTGACCCGCGTACTGCTAGCACAGCTTCCGACTGATACTTACTGATGAAGCTGGTCTCATTCATATCCCAGACACGACTACTGTCTAGGTTGTCCTCGATGGCCAGCTTCATCAGTGTGTTGAGCATTTCAGGTACAGCCACCGAATCAACGTCATTATGAGCTCGCGAAAGCGACTCTGAGGCACGCACAGATAGCTCCGGGTGACGCCCAAAAAAGGATTGTACCAGCCTGATGTTAAGTCCTTAACAGAGCGTAAATTGCCCTGGATCTTGTGGTGGATCTCGTTGGCGGCTTCGATTACCTTTCATGGATGCACTGGGACAAGCCGGCGCTGCATTGCTGCAATCCAAGTGACGATGTCGTTTTCACATTCAGGGTGCAGCATTGAACAGGTCCAGGACGCCTGCGACCTTCTTTCGCACCCTTCCTTGCGTGCACGGACTTTTTCGTTTAAGCGTTGATAGCGATACGGATGACGACGCAGCTACAACAATCAGAGTTTCACCGTTGAGAGCGCGTTGAATTGCTTCCTCTAGATGAGCCACCGTGACGACGCCTATCTGATTCATGATGTCCACACTACCACGTGTCGTCATCAGCTTACCCTCGAGAGGCTTTAGGCACGACTCGATAACACCACCGAGAGCAGTCCGTGAGCCAGAAACCGAGCTGATGCCACCGAAGCCCTATATCGACGCACCAGCAGGACTGATCAAAGAATAATCGAGTTTTAAAGTAGCATGGTGAAGGAAGTGAGCCCCCAGCAGCCTTTTCCCGAATTCCGCCCAGCCTTAACGAAAATCTGGAATGACATAAGCACTCGTTTTTGTCTCATCACAGCCTTGTACGAGCAGCATGGTGTCAAAAACCACCCCGGACCCAATCATGGCAGCCTCCAGGAAACAACACGGCTTGGACGGGGTCGCGGGCTCGAGTATGTCTGCGGTCGACACAAAGCCACCGTTTTTCAGTGCCGCGTTCATGCAGCAGCACTGAAGCACCATTCACTCGTTAGCACCAACAGGGTAGCGCCCCTCCAAAAATAGACAAAGGTGGGACTGACGAGAAAATGCTCTATGTATATAGTCTATCGACGAGGTTAATGTGCAGGTATGTGGTACAAAAGCGATGAGAATGCCGCTAGGGCCGCATTGGATTAGACGCGGTGTGGTCCACTTCATCCTAGTAAAAATGTGAGCCTAGAAGATGGTTGATAGGCAGGCATCTACAAA